AGATTAATATCTACCAGAGTTAATTTTTGGTAGAATTAATGTCATTTTCGAATTAAACACTCAAAAATACATCAGTAAGCGCTGATTTTCTCCAAAAATTTTTGGTCAAGAAAATTCGAGCTGTACTTCACAGCTATTTTCATACTTTTCGGTGCCTGTCCCCTCCTTAATCGAGTTTTGACGAAAAATTTTATATTCAAGATTTTCAAGTTCATATGTGTATTTTTGAGTGTTTAATTCGAAAATGGCATTTATTCTACGAAAAAATTAACTCTGGTAGATACTAATCTGAAAATAGAAGCGTATTTTAGCATTTTTTGCCGAAAATCAAGTATTTCTGATATTTGTTCATGTTCCCCATCTTTTTCTTTTCTAACTTTTGATGATAGATTCTGAAGGAATATGAAAAACTACATCGATTCATATGCATCATGAATGGGTTGAAGTTTTCATTTTTTTTTTAATTATGCTGAATTTTATTCGTGACATCCATGCACTTTTTTGTGATTTTTTATATAATTTTTGCGGACGCTTACGGAACATAGGAGTCAACAGACAAGAATACGATAACAAAGAGAGAAAGAATGACAAGAAAGCGAAAACGAACAGAACGAAAATCGAAATCGAGGCAGCGATGACGAGGTTGATGTACATTGCTGTTCTTCTTTTGTTTATTCCTCCGATATCGTATATCTTGACGTCGAAGACACCGTGCCGAGGGAAGGGATCGAACCTTCTGATGTCTGACTAACAATCAGATGCATAGAACCACTACGCCATCCCCGGCTTGAAGCTTTCATTGTGCTACACCACCAGATGAAATAAAGAAGAAAAACCAAAACTTTTGCTATTTGACTACGTTTTCAGTAGTAAAACTGTTCCAGATCGAACTATAAATCACTTTCTTTTGTATAGGTATGATCTAAGAATCAGATTCACATACAACTAAATGCATATTAAAGCTCATAGTATCGTTAGTGAGCTTCTGATATGATGAATAGGAAAACCGGTGGCCATTAGTATGCTATAGTATAAAAGGATTTTCTGGTCGAAAAGTTCATCTTTATGACGGCTCAATCTAAAATTCTGATTCAGTAGAAAATTCTGCGTCGGATGGTGTCTTTTTCTTAAATACTTTGAGAAAAAAAATCTTTCGATGAACCCGAACTACTCCCGGCCGCAAAACTGTAGGTGACCAATTAAAGTCATTTTTCGAATAGAAAAACTACATCATTTTACTCAGCATTTCATGCAGATTTCAAATCAATTATTCTTTCTCCAAAATTTTATGAACAAAAAACTATCGCCTTATCGATATTTGTCCTTTCAACTTAGTGTGTAGATGAGCCTAATTCTAATAAGTTACGTCTTCTACATCGTTTGGTTTACACTAAACTGAGAAACTACGGCAAAAAGTAATAAGTAATGTGAATCCCTAACAAGAAAATATCGACTAGTTTAATTTCAAGTGACTCTATACTTTAAATGACAGCCAAGTAAAGATTATAATTATGGAGTGTGGAGTGTATATACTTTCTGAATCCAAAGCTACATGGACGCACAATATGGTGATGTTTATATACTGATATAGTAGTTGTTAGATTCATATTAATCTATGAATACCAGAAGCCCTGCTTCAGTCAGGATAGTTAAAGTTATTGTGTATCTTGTCTGAATTCCGATAGACTTTCGACAATATAATACTTTATAAGAAATAGGTTTAGTACGGAATCTAAGACAACTTCGGTACTAAATCTATTGTTTTAAGAATGTAACCAATGATAACCAGCAGTATCCAGATTCTTTCCGAGATACAGCAATTAAATATCCGGCAATAATTTGTATTTTTCAATGTTCTGAAGAAATTTCGACATTTTGTCGAAACCGATTATATTGTTTAGATCTTGTTGACGAATAGCCTTAATCGAATTTCCATTTAAAACTATACATCCATTCACTCATCGCACTCTTAATTTCAATGATAATATCACGAGACTTTGTAATGGACTCGTGAAAATTTAGAGAAAAATTATGCTGAATTAAGAATTGCTTTTCTTTAGGTGACAAAAGTATTCAATGATATTGACGATGTAATTGCAGATCTAGAAGAAACAGCTACGCTGCCAATCAGTATCTATAGTGTATCAGAAGCTGGAACTCTAGCCTTCGAGCAGCAACAGAATGAAAGAAACGCTGAATTTATGTATTTTCTTCTCTTCATGGATATTATGATTAATACTTCACGATTAGATACTACTGCTAAACAGAATCTGATTGAATATTGCACAAATATGTACAAAGATAATGAAAACGAACTTGAGAAAATTTATCGATTCGCAAATGAGTATGAACCAAAAAATATTATATGGTGGTACACAAACGACTCGTTTTTTTATCGATTATTGAACAAAGCTATTCGTACTCAAGACTTTGAAGCTATATTTTCACTCCGTCTATGCATTGTTGATTTATATATAGAATTAGAAAAGGAACATAAGATCTTTTATCGCAATTACAGTGACGATTATATTCTGCGAGTTTATCGCGGACAAAAAATTTTCGTTAGCGAGCTAAATTTGATACGTGAAAGTGTTGGCAAATTTATATCAATGAATACATTCCTGAGTACAAGCGCAAGCCCAACGATAGCTATTGACTTTGCTAAACAGTATAAGCAAACAAATGATTTGAAACAGATTATCTACCAATTTAATATAAATACACTTCTTCAAAATACTGCACCATATGCCGATATTAGTTCTTTCAGTGCTTATCAAAGTGAAAAAGAGTTATTGATAGCAGCTGGCTCTATTTTTAAAATTGAAGAAGTACACTATGATGAAGATAAAGAAGTATGGTTTGCAGAATTATCATTATGTCAAAAAGATGACTTTGAACTAAAAATAATTATGGACCGAGTGAAAGAAGATATAGGAGATGGTCTTATTGGACTTGGTTACCTCTTAGCACGTCAGAGAAAGCTTGATAAAGGGAGACAATATTTTCAACAGCTTATAAATGAATCTTCAATTAGTTACTTTGATGCCGCACAATGTTATCAGGGTCTTGGATCAATTGCATTTTATGAAGAAAGTTATGATGATGCATTAGCCTATTATCAACAAGCACTTAAATTAATAGAGAAAAATAACTCAGATGACAAAAATTCAATCGCCAGTATAAATCGATGTATTGCCGAAGTCTATCTCTGGATGAACGAGCTGGATTTAGCTTACGATCATGCAAATGAAGCCAAGTCTTTACTATCTGATAATACTCTTGAAATGGCTAGAGTTTATTCTATAATTGGCCATATATATAGGCAGAGAAAGGAACCATACTTTGCTCATGATTACTATGAAAAAGTTTTAGATATTCGAATATCTCTTCTACCAGAAAATCACAGTGATATTGGGATCGCTTACAATAATATCGGCGCTTTCTATAGTGACATTGGTGAATATGAACTTGCTTTGGAACATTTTTTAAACTCACTGAGTATTAAAGAAAAAACGTTACCTCGTGATCATGCTGATGTACAAGAGACAGAATCTAATATTAGGGTACTTCAGCAGATATTGGATGCTGATGATGAACAGGTTAGCGATGGAGACCAATAATAACTGATATCAACACTCATAGATTTTTATAATCCATAGACTCTATTGTAAAAACAGCTTTTCAATGAATACGAAATTTTCGCAAGACAGCAATGAATTTTAGATATAAGTATGATATTCTGCGTATTAATCGTAAGCGGCTATTTTACATGCACTGAAACAGCTACAGATCGTGTAAAAAATTCTAGAACATCAAAAAAATGTTTCCATAAAGAAATGGATCGTTAAGAATAGAAATCGGTCCCTTCGAAGATTATTATTTTACTTGTGGTGAACTCATATAGAATATTTCCAAACATCGTTTCCAGACGAATTATTTGTATAATGCTTGTGTTTACTGTGGCTAGGTGAGTGAAATTAGTTCATAAACATCGTATATTTATCGAGTCTAACCATTAATGTTAATCAGACTTTTTTATCGAACAAGGTGACCAATCGAGCTAATATTGGCATTGTTTGACAGCGCTTTAAAAGCGTTACAAAATGGCATAAGAACATTCGGAAGAAATGCTAATCAATCCGAATCTATATAGGTTGCGTCACATGATAAATGTAAATAATGAGTTATTATTCGTTTTATCAATTGAGAAGAAATTCCCATGCTAGCTTTTATGAAATACGGGGTGAAAGTAATGGTAACATGTATAGGACAGAAACTTGCACTCCCCTCTATAGATCGTGATAGAGAAACTTCATATGCATCACAGGTCGTAACAGAGAGTCCTGCAGAATACACATAACCTGTCCTGACAGGGCAGGATGAAGTTACGAAATGTTCAAAGGGCAAGTTATAGGGTACTACTTCTATAACGTGTTAACCTTCTATTGATTTATCGCATCAAGTATAATCAATATGTTTTTAAAATTTTTACATGAAGAAGAAGAAGAATGGGCGAAATAAGTAGAAACAATATAAAATGAAAGTGAGTAAATGTGTTTATTTTATATTTAAAACAAATAGAAAGAAACAAAATTTATAAAATTGATGCGAAGTTATGAATTTTTTTATGATATCCAACATAGGAGGACAAGGTAAGTAACAGTTTATGAAAAAATGTCTTAGATCAGGGCAAGTCAGGGTAAGCTAAAACGTTAATAGAGCAGAGCAGAATCAGATTTTAAAAAATTACAGGGCAGGTTACAGATTGCAGCAATCGTGTAATCTGCAGCTCTCTAGTGACAAAGAAACTCCGGAAACCATTACTAACTATTCAAAATCGTGATAGAGAAAGTTAACACATCAGAGTACGGTAGAGAGGTTTTCAGCCCAGCATACATGATAACAGATGAGCTTAAGAAATCACCGCGGACCCTAATGAAAACGGAGAGACATAAAAGACCATAGAAAATATCCATGGATGTTAATGTGTATTGCGGCCGGTTTCGTCAGTGTACTATCGAAGAGAAAATCTCACTAAAGTCTTGTTAAAATCCATGAACTGCTTTTTTTTTCGCAACATTAGGTAATAAATAAAAGTATGGTGAAAGAAGCGTCTCGAAATAGATGTAGTAAACGAATAATTTCGCAATAATGAGATGTAACAGTTAGATTGTGTTTAACATTTAAATCTTGATTGGACTGCACTAAAAGCTTTTCACGTGGTATGATAGTGATTTTCAAACGATGGAAAACGATATAAAAATATCAAAAGAAAAACACTTCAGGGAAAGTGTTGATAATTTTTTCATTAGTATTTTGCAAATTCGACGCAGAAAAGCCTCCAATTTAACGAAACTAATACAATATTGAAAATCCGCATTCACAACTATGTTGAACCATTGGAATTTTATACATTTTCAATAACTTTTATTGTCTTTCAATATTTTTCCTCTAGTCCCCTCAAGGATAAGTCAAAAAATCAATGTTATCCAACAAGTCTTTAAAGTTATAGAATAAACTTTTGAGAGTGAAAATGGCATAAAAACTCATAATTACAGAAGACTAAAGGATGCAATTTGCACTTTTGAGTGAATGAGTTGCTCACCTATTTCTGAGGGGGACCAGCGAAAGAAAATCGGAAGAAAATAAAAGTTATTGAAAATATTTGGAACTCTAATGATTCTACTCAGCTTTGAATGTTTATTTTGAATATCATATTAATTTTATCAAGTTGACGGCTTTGCTGAACCGAATCTACAAAATACTAATGAAAAAAGTATCAACAAATGTGTTCCGATTTTTGTCTATATAGCACTTTTTCTTGGAAATAGCTGTTAAACTATGTGAAAATTAGCATGACGAAACATTAGTATGGGGATTTCTCTTCATTAAATACCATAACTAATAACTTACTATCTACATGGATTGTGGGGACGCAACATATATAAACTCGTATTCATCAATATTGCTCATAAGTATTCATGCGTACTATTTTGTAGCGGTTTTAAACCGCTGTCAAAGTATATAAATACTAGTTCGATTGATCACCTTCTTGTTTCATAAAAAGTCATTAGCATTAACGATAGGACTCAATGTTTATTAACTAATTACACGTTCATAGTCATAGCAAAAAAACAAGGTTTGAAGGAATAATTCTACTAGAAACGATCTTTGGACATTTTGTGACACACAATCTGAAAGGAGTGTTGAAGTATATAGGGTAGAAAATTTGTATCAAACATCCACGGACCGCGGTAAACACTTTCTAAAACGTAGCTTTATCATTTTTCACCTTTTTTATCCCTCAAAGATTGCGCTAGCAATTTTTCTATATGAAATTGAAAACGGAAAAAGATCATATTTTTTGAGGGATCGATTTCCATTTAACGACCGTCCTTCGTTGCATACACTGAATGACGCAAAACAACTACAAAGCAATTTATAATTAATTAATAAAAAAATATTTAATTCATTATTTACTAATATTGAAACTCTTTTGTAGGATCTATAAGGTCTACCGAGAGTTTGGGCTTAGAGTATGGGAATGAAAGTCGGTATTAGAAAAGTATGACTATTGGTGTAGTTCTGACTAAGTCTATCGACCTGTATATTGAAAGGAAAGGTTCTTGTAGTCGGCTTTGTCGATGAGAAATAGTCACAACCACTCTGGACTATGAGAAAATTTCCTTTGTGATAAAAATTGAAGTTTTTATTATACTATTCGTTAAGTGTGAATTACTTTGTAATATCTTTGTGTCATATACTCTTTAAATAATCAGGGTAGGTGCTAGCATTATATCAATACGAATTTCAAAGTATGAAATAATACTTATAATACTAACACTAAAAACTATCAAGTTCCACATTTTAAGTGTAATGCAAACCGTTAAAAAATGTTTAAGCTAAGGCGACACTAGTACCAAATCAACACCTCTACTAGTGGTGGCGCAACGGGAGCTTATGGAGTATGAGCTCCCAGAGTAATTTGAAGTTGTTAGTAATTGAGTAGATAAGCCTCTCTCCTCCACCAGAAACTATAATGAGAGAGATCAGGTGTCATTCTCCAGATCAAAACTCCTCCGTCACCAGTAACTCCTATTAATACTTCATCTCTATTGTAGGGGATGTACATTCATTCGTAGCTGTTGAGCAACGTCTTTTTTTACAATATTGGACAGTTGATGAATAATTGGTACGGGAGGGAAACGGTGTAACAGTCAATCAAAAAACTTCGCTTTACAGCACGCATACTTTACCTTTTCGAAAATATATGACACTCACAGAGTGCCCAATGATCAGTTTGAAAAGTTATAGCTATCAATGTCAAGACTTTTATACACATCCTTGCTGCTCACATCTTCTCAAACCTTTATACTCATATTCACACACCGCACTAGCATCGAGCTGCATGTGTCTGTTCTTTGTTTTTGTCCTTCTTAAAATGAGAACAAAAAATCATGTCATAACATCAAAGAAATAAAAATAATATACGAGACAAAGTATCCAATGCAACGAGAACGAAGTGATTGTATGCATAAAAAGTAAATAAAAGTTGAGAAGAATAATAAAAAACAGCCTTGTAGAAGTTTTTTTTTCTTGATGTTGTTGAAAATTCTACTTTCGATTTAAGCAAGGTTGAATTTGCGTTGAAGGAGCGCCCCTCCCCCCCCTCCTCCTCAGAAAACCCAATTTTCTTAAGAAAAGCTGAAGTCGAATTTTTATCATAGGAAGATGCATCGTGATCTCCTCTTTCAAAATATATACGGCTTTTCGCAAAACCAATAGATTTTGCTGGACTTATCGGCTGAAACTTGGACCCTACCATCATTTTTTTCGAAAAAGTTCCCGCGGCTTTTTTTTTTTGAAGTTTTTCAGTTTTGAAAGACTGCCTATCCATTGGCATTACCGTTGAATAAAGTTTTGTTATGATAATCATTAAGAGCCTACACTGTAAAAAAAAAAAAAGGAACTGTACGAAACCTCAAAAAAGGGTTCGGTAGATGACAAAAAGCTTGCAAATGTGTTCAAATTTTGAAAAAAAAGAATAAAAAAATACACAGAACCTTTAAAGGATCTTACTGTATACCCAAGTGAAGATCCTTTTTTCTTCGAAATCTTTTTAAGATCTGTAGACCAAAAAATAGGTTTTGCAGGAAAATACGAAACCTTTAGAGTTTCGTATTAAACCTCGTGGTTTCGTGCTGGGCTTCCTGTAAAACTATTATATTTAATACGAAACTCTAAAGGTTCCGTATTTTCCTACAAATCCTATTTTTTGGTCTACAGATCTTAAAAAGGTTTCGAAGAAAAAAGAATCTTCACTTGGGTACACAGTAAGATCCTTTAAAGGTTCTGTGTATTTTTTTCTTCTTTTTTTGAAACTTTGAACACATTTGCAAGGTTTTTGTCATCAACCGAACCTTTTCTTGAGGTTCCGTACAGTTCCTTTTTTTTACAGTGTACTAATACTTAAGATAAAGATCACATACTTATAGCCTGTCCGAAAGATTCATGTATAATTTGCGTGTATTTCGCAAAAATTGATTTCTAAAACTGATTTAGCCTTTTTCTCAAAATCCGTTTTTTCGACAGTACCGGTTACGCGGGCAGGCTTTTCTTC